GCCAGGCCGCACACGGGTCGGGGCACACCTGGGGAGGACGTGCCAGGCCGCACACGGGTCGGGGCACACCTGGGGAGGACGTGCCAGGCCGCACATGGGTCGGGGCACACCTGGGCAGACGTGTGCACTGTGAGGTGTCTCTGACGTGAGATAACAACACAGGGTTACAAGCATGGCCCCGAGCCTGACCGCCTGGGTGTGAACCCGCCCTCCACACACAGCCTGGCCGGCCCCCTCGCTGTGCTCCACAGGGGTGAGAGGGTGGGCCTGGGTACCCCCCAACCTCGGCCGAGGCGCTGGCCGCGGGCACTGGCGTCCCCGTGGCCGGCTCCCCAGGTGGCCCAGCACCGTGTGGTGCAGCCGGCAGGTGTGGAGGTTCAGACAGAGCGGAGGGGGTTCTGTGTCAAGCCCCTTGAGGCGGGGCCCTGGCACAGTCTCAGGCAATGCCTGCAGGTGTCTCTGTAAACTCATCCAGGTTCCAGCCAAGTCCCCAGCCTCAGGCCCCAGCAGCTTCCTCTTCCTGAACCACGGGACCCAGGAGGCAGCCCGGCTGCGGGGGGCCCATCACACCCACCTTCTGGATATCTGTGATGTCCACCAGCTTGATGACTTTGTTTCGTTTGGAAGACCCGGATTTGGAGCTTTCGAAGCACAAGTAACTGGGCGGGGAGGGACGGACAGAGGTGTAATCCAGCAACTGGGCCAGGTGGTGTCTGCTCAGTCAGGGGGGGTCTCCCATGGTCCCCTAGAGCAGCTCCCAAACACACCTGCTCCCCCGCCTCCCGCAGGACGGCTGGCCGTTCTCACGAGCTTTCCCTCTGAGGTAGTCACACAGCTTCAAAGAAGCAAAGCCTCCGCGCCCGATACTGGGCCAGGGCGCCACCTCGGCCAGTCCCTTCACGGGGGAGGGGACCGAGAGGGAGGCGAGGCCAAGGACCCAGCAAGGTTGAGGGCAGCCCCCCACCCTGGGCTCTCCCACCTCCCACCGCAGGGGTGGCCTCAAGGTAAGCTTTCCACACAGTGCTGGTTAGGAGAGGGGCGAAAGCCACCTCAGGCTGCTGTGCCCCCAGCGGGCAATGCAAGGACCACCATCCTGTGACAAGGACCTCATTCCTCACCTCCCGAACACCCGGAGCCCCTTATGAGCACCCCAGGCCAGCACAGAGCATGTGTGGGTCTGAGGCGGGCCCCTCTCCCCTGGGCTTCAGCAACAACAGGCAGGTTCTCAGCAGGGGCTCTCCGACCCAGTCCCCCATCAGGCAGCCCACCGTCTGGCCCTGCCTGGGCACCTCCGGGAGAAGCCCCCCTGCGCCCCTCGCCCGCCCAGCCCCACTCACTTTTCCGTCACGTACAGAACGCCGTTCCGGATGTAGTCCGTGGGCATCTTGCGATCCCTGTTGATCAGGCAGCAGCGCCAGCCATTCTCACACACTGTGGGGGACACCAGCCGTAACGTTTAAGAGGACGCCTGAATGACAGTCCACCGCGCGGAAGCCCTATCGGAGGTTGCTGTCGAACGGGGGACCAGAGCCCTGGGCCTGCCTCTCATGGGCAGGCGGCCACAGCCCAACACGTCGGCACCCTCACACCCGGGAGCAGGCCTGTCGGAACCTCTGCTGTCATGCATGGTCTGGGAGCACGCTCCCCAGCCTCGTCTGCAGGGAAAGGTCCCGTGAGGCCTTGGCCCCGACGTAGGATGTGGCTGTCCCCCAAGGCTCCCAGCGACACCCACCAGCCTCCCCTCTGACTCGGAGCTCTGGAACATGGTAGGGTCGCCACTCCATATGTGTGCACCCCACCCCCAAGCCTGCGGTGTCTGCTGGGGTTCCCAGGCTGCAGTTAGTATCTGGTGGGATCCCCAGACCCCACAGTCACTGTCTGCTGAGGTCCCCGGGCCGCAGTCAGTGCCTGGTGGCGGGGTCCCCGGGCCGCGGTCAGTGTCTGGTGGCGGGGTCCCCGGGCCCGCGGTCAGTGTCGGGTGGCGGGGTCCCCAGGCCGCGGTCAGTGTCGGGTGGCAGGGTCCCCGGGCCACGGTCAGTGCCTGGTGGTGGGGTCCCCGGGCCACGGTCAGTGTCGGGTGGCGGGGTCCCTGGCCCGTGGTCAGTGCCTGGTCACCGCACACACACCTGCCAGTGGCCGCTCGTTCTCCGTCAAGTTGAAGATTTCATGGAAGTTGCCCTTCTTGGTGCTGTGGAAGCGGCCGGAATCTTCGTCTCTGCCCGGGCCTGCCGGTGCGCTGGGAACACAGCTCCGTGAGGACGCGGTCTGGAGCTGGGGACAGCAGAGGCCCTGGTCAGGAGGCGGGGAGGGGCAGCTGGACCCCCCACCCACTGCAAACTCAGACGGGCTGCAGACTTGCACCCCGGCAAACTACGGCCAGGGTGGGCTGAGGCCCTGCCTGCGCTCGGCTCGAGTCACGGCCACCCCTGTCTTCTGGGTAGAGAGCCCTCCTGCAGCAGGGGGACCCTCGCCGCCCCACAACTTTCCCACAGCCGTCCCCACCACACGGCTGTGCTAAGCCTGTGTCTCAGCACACGCCACGGAGGCCAGCTGCTGCCCAGTGCGAGGCATCTCAAGTGGACAGTGCAGAGACCCAAACAGGCATGGGGAGGGCCACCCAGAGCAGCAGGAAACCACCAAGCAAATCCACGGCATGGCACCAGGCCGCCGGGAGGCCGGGCACACGGGCACGGTACCTTGTCGTGGCCCGAGAGCTGGCCGGAGGGAGGCACACACGTGGGACGCAGCAAGAAACGGTCCACGTGACGCGTCCCGGACACACGTGGAGCAGAGCCACAAGCACAGGTGCGGGTGCTCTGTCACATGCTTCCAGAACGCTCTCTCGCAGCGCTCGGGCGCGACCCCTCAGTGGGGCCAACCCCCACCGGGAACACCCCCTTGCTCCCCCCATTCCCTGTCTCTGAGAGTGACTGGGGCTCCCCAGTCTTGACCCCCAGGAAACCCCCCTGACCACCCCAAGGCCAAGATGGGTCCTTGTCCCTGCACGCTGTGAAGGGAGCCTCCAGCCTCGGGGTTGACCGACAGAGGCCCAGGCACGGAGCCATCCTGGTGATTGAACCAGCCAGGCTAGCTCGCCCAGCGCAGGCTGCTCCATACCCGGCAGAGCCGCCCCGGGGCCCAGCCGCCCCAAGGCAAAACTGCCCTGGTAGATGAGTCCCCGCTCCAAACAGCTCTGCTGTCCCCCAGCTTTGCTCCCACCAACAGAACAACCTCTCCTCAGGACACTTAAACACAGGACCCTGCACACCAATGTCCCCTCCTCCAGGAAGCCCCCAGACTACCCCTGGGTCCTACTGGGCCCAGAAGCCCCACTTGTACGGAAGGCCTGAGGAGCGCATGGGGCTGGGGGCCCGCGGCAGCCCATGAGCTTCAGGGGCCACTTCTCAGGAGCTGCTTGGCCCAGCTGCCCGAGCCTCAGAGCAGGGGCAGTGGGGAACAGTGGGGGGCAAGGGCACCACCATGCAGCAGCAGTCACTCTTGGCCAGCACCCTGCCCCGCCCGCCCCAGGCATGGCGGCCGGCCTGGCTCAGGTGGGGCCCTGCTCCCCGTGGAGCCTCCAAGCCAGCCCCCTTGGGGACCACACCCACCCCCTGCCCAGGGCAGCTGGCACCTAACAGGGACACCAAGGGCAGGATGAGCCTCAGAAACAGCCATGCCCAGTAACAGAAGACCTTCACATCTTCTGTGTTTAACTTGCTTGTCTCAAAGGCCCCACAGAACCCGAAAAACATCAGCTCCCAGATGAGCCTCGAGCAGGCGCAGAACTCTGAGTCCGGAGCTGACTGGCTTTCAGAGAGCCCCCCGCCCGGGCCCGGCGCTCACCCGGCGCGACACGGTGGCAGTGCTGGCGCGCTCTTTGAGCTGGGGGTCTGTGGGGAGGCTCCTCCAGATGATGTAGGGCGTGTCATACTTGGCTCGCAGCCTCGGGCAGCGTTTAAACACGAAATCGATGAGGAAGAACTTGACTCCAGCATAGAGTCCTGAAAGGGGAGAAACAAGCCCCTCTCACCCAGAACTCTGCGATCATGCCCGTCTGCTCAGGGTGACAGTGCCAGCACCTTCCGTGTGGGGGCCCTCTGTGCTCCCCAGAGGGAGGAGACTGGCCGGGGGTGCCCAATCAAACCTACAGAGCAAGAGGGGGCCGGGGCAAAAAGCCCTGGGGGGGGCCAGCGCAGGGCAGGGGGAGCAAGAAGATAAAGCAGCTCCTGGCTGAGGAGGGCTCCCTTTGGACTTTGCTACCGCAAACCCAGACGGGCCTCAGAACGCAAGACAAAGCTCTCAGAAAACAGAACAAACCACACAGCACCACAAGGCAGGGTAACTGTTCTGTGTGACGTACTGGCAGACAAAGGACTGTGCGCAGTCGTCATAACCCACAGGAGTGTACTCGCCAAGCGTGAACCCCAAGTAAACGTGGACTTCAGTTGGTAACAGTGTATCAACCCTGGCTCATCCATTGTAACAAACGCACCACGGGATGCCAGACAATAAGGAGAGTTTACAGAGGGGGAGGGGAGATGGGAACTCTGTACTTTCTAAACAGTCTTTCTGTAAACCTAAAACTGCTCTAACAAAATTAAAAAGGCCAAAAAAGGGCCTTTAGCCATCCGTTCCCCTGCCGACCACTCACCCAGGTGTCCAGCACTAGTGGGGTTTGTGCCCAAGGCAAGGGCTAAAAATGAACAAAACAGACAAAGTTCCTGCCCCCAGGAGGTCACGGTCCAGTGGGGGACAGAAGATTCAGTGAGTCAAGAGAACAGCCCACTCCCTTCCTACCCCCTAGGGCCATGAGGGAAACAATTAGCGCAGAGGGGACAGGCTGCAGGACTGTGCCGGGAAGTGACACATTTCCACCGCGGCCGTGGGGAGGGACACGGCGTCGCCCAGCACCTTGGCGCCCCGCCGTGTTCCCACACACTGCGGCTACAAGGACGCAGGCCCTGTCTTCCCTGGAGGGCGCCTCCCCTGTTGAACTGAAGACGTCATCTGTCACAGCAAAGGCATCAGGGCAAGACTGCACGGGGACACCTGCCCTTCCACAGCAACACGACCTGTCCCGCTGCTCTTCTAGGGGCACCCTGAAACCCAGCGCCCCACCCGCCGTACCTGTGCTCCACTCCCTCACTGCTTTTACAGCTCACTGGGGCCATCCTGTCAGTGTCCGCCCGGCTCCCACCGCCCAGGAGAGCAGGGAGGAGGGCAGTGTCGCCTGTGTGCCTGGAGCTGGCACACAGCGGAAAGCAAGGAAGGCAGAATGCAAGGGGGTGAGGTGGGCAGGCGGGAAGCCGCCACGCCATGAGGTCCCGGCCGTGCCAACACGTGCACCCACGGACAGCCTGGTGCCCACTGCCCGCCCGCCCCCTCTCCCCGACAATCGACTCAAGAAACGACTGTTTCAGGGGTGACACGCTCCTTGGCCCAAAGCCACCTCACTCAACGCCGGCAGCTACTTCCCCAGCTCAGTGCACTGATGCACTGCACCCCAAACCAGGGTCCCCATTCCCGGGGGCACCCCCAAGCCTGCGAGCACTCAAGGATACCCGTCACCCCCCATGCTGACTCCCCAAGAGCAGTGGCCTGGTGACACCAGGGCCCCCAGCCCCTCCCCTCTGCGGCAAAGCAGGGGTTCCCAGAAGCAGAGGACACCCTTGCTGAAAGAGACTCGAACCGTGTCTCGGAGGCCCTGGGCCACGCAAACGGCCAGTGCGCTCAGCTGCTAACCCAAAGGCTGGAGGTTCGAAGTCTACCCAGAGGTGCCTTGGAAGACAGGCCCGGTGATCCAATTTGAAAAATCAGCCATTAAAAACCCTACAGAGCACGGTTCTACTCTGACACGCAGACGGTCGCCGTGAGTCAGAGGTGGCTCCACCGTGACCAGTAAAAATCATGTCTCTAGGTCCAGGTTTAGGGAGCCCTGGTGGGTCAGTGGTTAAAATCATGTCTCTAGGTCCAGATTT